CGAGGGGCATGAGCCGCCTCTCTGATCTCCCCATGAGATGCCAGTGTACCCCCTGAAGTGACAACCAAAAACTCACTTCCCCAGGCACTGAAAGATCAGGTGCAAAATCCCCTAGGTTGAGAATTACTGGGTTTTTCACACAGAAAATCGAGCATCAACCACAAATGTGTTGGGGGTGGCACTGTTTGCAAAGACTATAAAAACATGGCAGTCTTTGCAAAGCTCTTCCTGGAAGGATCTTTTCGACCTTCTTCCCAGAGCTAGCTCCTCCTCCTAGCCTGGTCTTGAGCTTCACAGCCTGGGGGGGCATTCCTGCCTGCATGACCTCCAGAGCGTGCCTCCTTTACATCTCTGCAAGCACCCCAGGGCTCCGTACTTTGTCTCCACTGGGTCTTTGCTCAACTGTCAGGAGGGGTCCCCTTAGTCACACTTTTTAAAACCGCACTCCACTCCTCCTTTCTTTCCAAGCCACTTGGCTCACACCTGTCCATCTCACTTAGGGCCTTGCTGACGGGCATGACATTGTGATCTCTGGGCGGCAGGGCTGGCTGGTTCCCTGATGTACACCTGTGCCCCAGCACACACCAGAGGCTCCATTGGTACTCACTGAGTCACTCTCACAACATCCGGTTGGATTCCTTCCCACCAGGGCCCACACCTGTCTCTCACTAAGCACCTCTATATGCCCAGGCCCCTACTTGAACCATGTCAGCATGCTCAGTTGCCGTGCAGGCCATGCTGACCGACTGACGGTGACCCTGGATGCAGGGCGGAGCACGCTGCAGGGTTTCCATGGCGAGGACCTGCAGGAAGCAGACCAGGTCGTTCTTCCTGGGCACCTCCCGGTGGGTTCATGACAGCAACCTGTGGGCTAGCGGTCAAGTGCTTAACCATCTGCGCCACCCAGGGATGCCTCCCTGAGCCATTACGAGAACAAACACACCAAACTTTCAGTTTGATGCCTAGCACTTTAATCGCTGGGCCACCCAGGGTGCCTTACCTGATAAATGGCAGGTGTTTACAATTATCCTCCATGGAACCCAAGAGGAAATCTGGGTTACAGAGAGTCCCTAATCTACCCCTGTCAATTAAGGTGCCCTGGTGGCATAGTGGTTACACGTTGGGCTGCTGACTGCAAGTCCAAGGTCAGCAGTTCAAAACCACCAGCCCCTCCAAGGGACAACGATGAGGCTTTCTACCCCGGTGAAGAGTTACAGTCTCTGCAACCCATAGGGGCAGTTCTCCCCTGTCCTCTAGAGGGACGAGGAGCCAGGGCTGACTCCCCCGCAATGAGTACAATTGGGTTTTATCCATGTCAACTAGCAAGCGGCAGAAGAGAGCCTACAGCCAGAGCTCGCCTGACTCCACAGCAAGCATCAGAACCTCGGGGCCGGAGCCCAGCCTTGGCAGATGCCCCAGTGTCCCTTGGTTTTACAAACCGGGAAATCAAGGCCCAAGGGGTAATGGGACTTCTTCAGTCACCACTCCCAGTAAGAATAGCTAACATTTACTGGGCCTTTATAACAGGACACACACCATTCTGTTTTATTGGTATCCTTAACTCATTCACTCTCACAGTCTCCCAAACGGGCCGTTTTTATGGAAA